CCCTCCTTGATTTACTTTATGACTTTGGATTCTAGCACCCTACTGACAATGGTCAGAATATTTTGTTACACATACTAAGATCTGAAAAATCTTAGCGTAACTGAACTCCCTGATAATACCACAGTATAGACATGTCAATAGACACTCATTTCCATGACATCTACCAGTCTGCCACATCCCAAACATCCCAAAGGTGCTCTATTGGACTGAGATCTGATCTGATGGTGAATAGAGTGAATTTACTGTTATGTTCAGACAGTTTTAGATTTTTGAGCTTTGTAATATGGTACATTATCCTACTGGATGCAACCATCATATAATGGGTACACTGTGGCCATAAAGCGATGGACACAGTCAGCAACAATACTCAGATATGTTCTGACATTTAAACAATCTTCTATTGTCCAATTTTTGTGAGCCCGTGCGAACTGCAGCCTTAGTTTCTTATTCTTAGCTTCCTTCTTAGACAGGAGTGGTACCCACTGTGGTCTTCTCTTGCTGTAGCCCAGCTGCTTCAAGGTTCCACGTTTTCACAGATGCTCTTCTGCATATCTTTGTTGAAATGAGTGATTATTTGACTTGCTTTGCCATCAGCTTGAAGCAATCTGACCAGTCTCCTCTGACCTCTCTCATGAACGAAGCATTTTCACCCACAGAAGTGACGCTCACTGGATGTTCCCTTTTTCCCCCCTTTTCTATAAAGACCATTCTCTTTGACATGGTTGTGTGGGTGAATCCCAGGAGATCAGCAGGTTCTGAAATACTCAGACATTCTCAGGTATACCTTCTGGCACTAGCAACCACGCTATGTTCAAAGTCACTTAAAACAACTTTCTTCCCATATCTGATGCTCAGTTTGAACTTCAGCAGGCTGCCCTGGCCATGCCTACGTGCTGAAAAGCACAGAGTTGCTCCAGTGTGATTGGGAGATTGATTAGATATTTGGTTTAATAAGCAGTTGAACTAAGAAAATGGCAAGTGCCATGTCATTGTTGGATTTTTGTTACATACCACATAATGAAACATAGACAGTGACTGATAAGGCTCAGTCTGACGAACCATGCTTCACCTTTAAAGTATGAAGAAATGACGAACAATTCAAAAACTTTATGGTGGCAAAAAAAAACCCCAAAACAAAACAAAAGGTAGTCTCATTATTTAATGATACTCATCTGGATCTTGCAAATGTAATTTTTTATATTAATCATAAGTACTACAACAGCTATAATCAGACTGGAATGATGCTGATAATAAGTTCGCCACACACCAAGTCCACAGTCTGTGCTTGAAAACTCCAACGTATCTAATCGCCAGATAGCACAGTGTATGTTTCCACAGCCAGCAGCAGTGATACAGACAAACTTGCAAAAGAAACCCAGATTGTAAAAAATAAAATAAATATTTAATTTACAAAAAATGACTTGAGAGATGTAAACAACTGCATTACAACTTTTAAGATTACTGTTCACTGGAAGGTTGACTTCTTAACTCTATACGAACAAACTTAATGGTGGTGGCTGAAAAAAACCAAGCACCTCCCTATACAAATATGAACTTTGAAAAAATAAATGGTGCCATTCAGAAAGAGGCTGCAAGCTGAGCCAAAACAGCCAGCCAACCTTCCCAGTGCGTACATGGAACACACTGACAGAGAAGTAAGGGATGAAGTGAAGAGGTTGTAAAGGACAGGAGTTAAATGGAAACAAACTAATACATCACAGTGAACTAATTTATGAGCTATCAACCAGTGTGTGGCTACCAGGCTTTGAACACGAGACTCACCTACGACCCTGTCTCCAGTCTGGACTCCCATCTTCCTCATGGCTGCAGCAAACAACGCCACATCACGCCTCAGTTCTCCAAAAGTCACCTTCACAATTTCCTCATTTGCCTCCTCTGATAGACAAAAACACAAAGTAAATTTAAGACACCTACACAGAAACAAAAATACATTTGTAACATCCAAAAGGTT